GCCACCGCCCCACGATCTCTCCCACCGCCCACCCATCCAAGGCCTCCTCGCCTTATTAATAAATAATTCGAGCCCTCCTGTTTCTCCAAGAATTTGTTCTCCTTCACTTTATCCAGGTAATTCTTCTCTCTAATTCTCTTATGTATCTTTCTGGTGCGTCTCCTTCCTCTTGATTGCTTCTCCGGTTTATAATTGTCTCAATTGTGAATCACAACGAAAATGAAATTATTCCGCCTAAAGTTTGCCACATCTGAATTTCAAGGCCTATGTAATTCACATTAGGCACACCTTTATAACTGACAGTAGGCCTATGTATTATTATTACATAGGGTGTTCTGAACTTCAAAAGGAATTTAGCCCTATGTTGGGCACTTCTCTCTAATTCTCTTATGCCTCTTTCTTGGGCTTACAAAGTCTATTCATTTTGCACCGTCACAAAGAATTCTTAAATTAGGTTTTCTTATTGCATCTACGAATTCAGAACCCCTGTAATCCCTCTTCCTGATATCCTTGTATCCCTGCTTTGTTCCCATAGTGATACACTCCAACTTTTCTTTTGGTACCTTAGTACCTTCCTTATCTTGATTTTGTTTAGGTCTCCGTACTTTTTCCTGAAAACCAATATGAGCCTGCTTCTTAATTTCTTTTCTCCTACAATTTTGGGATTCATGAGCCCGCCACTTTCAATGATCACACAATGATCACCAGATAAAGGTTTAGCCCATCTTACTGCATCCTCCCAATCAGATTTGTTCCCGAGAGCTTCATTCTCCTCAAACTTTGACGACGATGTGTTTTGTGTGCGTCCCTCTGCAAATTCAGCATGGTTTCCCCCTGCGATTGATTAGCAGCATTCTCCTCTTTGACCTTAAAATGTTAAATCTTGTTAATATATATATATATATATATATATATATATATATATATATATATATATATATATATATATATCTTGATATCAAATTCAACATGGTTTCCCAATCGCCACTTCACCGCTCCCAATCATTGGGTGACAGGACAAAATCAGAAGGAAGAGGAAAAGGAGAAGAAAGAAGAAGAAGAAGAAGAAGAAGAAGAAGAAGAAGAAATTCGGACACTTGCTATCCCTAATTCACTAAATCAGAACCTTTTCTAGGCACATTCATTCAGTTCAACGACACAAATCAATGCCAAAATATTTTAACAACAATAACCATAGATCATCAAAAACCTCTTTCTAGAGCCAAAACTTGGTGTGAGTGTGAAAAAGGCAAAG